TCTGGGATTCTGTGATTCTGTGATTCCTGCCGGGGAGCCCCACGCTGACCAGGGCCCGTTCCCACTGTTCCTCCCTCAATCCAGCCGCTCCCTCCCGCTGGAGCAGCTCACAGCTCCTCACCAAACAGGTCTGGGGGACTCGAGGAGGTGTCAGGCCAAGCCCAGCCCAGCCCAGCTGGAGGGGACGGTCGCGCTGACTCACCGTTGCCGTAGGCCCAGTCGTCGTTCATGCGGTGCCGCACCTTCTGGTAGATGGCCGACATGGTCTTCATGTTGCTCTTCCTCCACTGGCGCCCCAGGTACTTGGTCTGGATCTTGAGCAGCTTGAGCACGTAGAGCTGCAGCATGGCCTGCTTCACCTTCAGGGCCCGCTTCAGGATCGGCGCCGACTTGAACACCACCAACATCTGCAGGAACCAGCAGGAATTGAGGCAGGGTGGGCAAGGAGGCCACACAAACCCTGCCTGGGCCACACAAACCCTGCCTGGGCCACCTCGGGCACCAACTGCTGGGCCACAGACACCACAAACCCCAGGGAGGGACAACAGGGCAACACAACCAACACAACCAACACCTCCTGCCCGGGGCTGGAGGCTCGGGGAAAGGGGGGGTCACTGGCAGGGGAAAAGGGGTTTCTGCATTTTATGTGTTTAAGGCTCAGTCTGGGAAAGGGAAAAGGGCAGCGGAGGAAGAGCAGAAGCTCCGGCACTGCGGGAAGAAATGCTCAGCAGCAAGGTCGGGCTTAGAGCTGGGGACACACTCCAGGAAGGCCAAGGCTGGGTTTAGAGCTGGGGACATGCTCCTGGAAGACCAGGCTTAGAGCTGGGGACATGCTCCAGAAAGGCCAAGGCCGGGCTTAAAGCTGGGGACGTTCTCTAGGAAGGCCAGGCCAGGCTTAGAGCTGGGGACACACTCCAGGAAGGCCAAGGCCAGGTTTAAAGCTGGGGACACGCTCCTGGAAGGCCAAGGCCGGGCTTAGAGATGGGGACATGCTCCAGGAAAGCTGGGCTTAGAGATGGGGACATGCTCCAGGAAGGCCAAGGCTGGGCTTAGAGCTGGGGACACACTCCAAGAAGGCCAAGGCTGGGCTTAGAGCTGGGGACATGCTCTAAAAGGCTGGGATTAGAGCTGAGGACACACACCAGGAAGGCCAAGGCCAGACTTAGAGCTGGGGACACCCTCCAGGAAGGCCAAGGCTGGGCTTAGAGTTGGGGACACACTTCAGGAAGGTCAAGGCCAGACTTAGAGTTGGGGACACACTTCAGGAAGGCCAAGGCCAGGCTTAATGCTGGGGATATGCTCAGCAGGAAGGCCAGGCTTAGAGCTGGGGACACGCTCCAGGAAGGCCGGGCTTAGAGGTCTCAGGGAGATGGGACACCACCTCACCATTGTCCTCGAGTGCTTCCACTTGGTCAGCTTGTTGAGGATCCTCAGCAGGTTGATGCAGGAGAACAGGTTCCTCCAGCAGAACTGGTTGTTGTCTCCAGCTTCCTGCAACGGGAGAAGGAGAAGGGTGACCAAGGGTGACCAAGAGCAAGCGTTCAGCAGCCCCACCAGAGGGGTCCTCGTGCACAGAGTCTGTGTTTTTACTGTCTGCACACGTTTTATTCCTGCTCCTCACTGGATTTATCCTCCCTGCAGAGGTTCCAGCAGAAGGAGCTCTGCTGAATGGTGGATTTTGGGAATCACCAGCAGGAAAGCGAGGAAAGCCAGTGGGACACGAGCTGGGCCTTCTGGTCAGGGGTGTTTTGGTCTCCCCTGAGAACAATCTGTCTGGGGATGGTGACACCAAACAGAATCCCAGGATAACTGAGGTTGGAAAAGCCCTCCCAGCCCATGGATCCACCCCGTGCCCCATCCCCACCTTGTCCCCCAGCCCAGAGCACTGAGTGCCACGGCCAGGCCTTCCTGGGAAACCTCAAGGACTGGGCACTCCAAACCTCCCTGGGCAGCCCCTGCCAAGGCCTGATCACCCTTTCCACGAGGAAATTCCTCCAGGAGCTGATCAGTTCAGTGAGCTGGTCAAATATTACTGCACATATCATTTTTGAGGCCAACAAGAACAGGCTCCTGACTGAGTTTATTTAACTCTGGGATTAAAAAAGCCACTCTGAGCAAACGCACTTTTGTGCCAGCAGAGGCTGTGCAGAGGTGGGGTGTCACCAGGACGTCACTGGGATGTCACCAAGGTGCTGGTGGGTGCTGTGTGCTGCTCTGGGGGTGCCAGCTCAGCAGCAGTGCCCAGGCCTAATCTGCTCCCTCCACACCGAGGAATTTTTCCAGAGTAAGCCACTGTCCATTTCTCACACGGATGGATTTATTTGCCACCAACCTGATGTTGTCTCTAAAGCTTCAAGTAGGGGAGGGTCTTTCCATCAGGTTTATGGGAGGAGGGAACAGGCTGGAATCCTGGTTTTAAGGGGTGGATCGAGCCCCTCCCAAACACAGGGAGATGGGACTGGCAAGAAATCCAAGAGTCTTTCCCACGCCAGGATGGGGGAATCCCCCAGTACCCGGTGGGATTGCAGCCATTGGGGACAGCACTGCTGAAATCCTGGGAATAAACCTCCCCCTGGAATAAAGCACAGCCACACATCGCTCTGCTGGGCCCCCAGAGCAGAATCCTCTGTCAGCAGGACTGTGGCACTCTGGGATGTTCCAATCACTCACCAGGGGGCCAAAAAAAGACACTAACATTGGCCTCAAGCAGCAGGGAATGTCTAATTCCCAATAAACCCTCACTTCCATGGGGATCCTCAGGTAAAATCCAAGTTGGTTCCTGCTTATTTTCTGATTAAATCGATCTCCTGTGAGGAAAACATCCGTGTCTGCTGGAGGACAGCAACCTGCAACGGCTCCCAAAGTGGGGACTTGGCCCTACTGGGAATATCTTCCCTAAAAAACGCTCAGTTTTCTCCTAGAGGCTTAAAGCTTATTGTGAGGATTAGTGTGAGGCAGTGGAGCCCTCAGCGACCTGTCACTAGATGTCCCCATTGATCCAGGATCTGGCACCAGGACTCCCAGTCCTCAGCAGCCCCTGAACCTGGGGAAAAAAAAAAATCTTTCTCTCTGACGATTTTAACCTTTACACAGCAAAGGAAAACAACGCAGGGTTATGATTTCAGCAGCCAGGCAGCGTTAGATCATCCCTGCCCAGACTGGGTTTGCTCAGGCTCCTTAATGATTCCTGCATCATTTCGGGGCTCCACTCCCTGTTAACCCCAAAGCTTTTCCCTGCTCCGTGCCCTGTCTGAGTCCCACTCTGCCTTTGAGTTATTGCAGTTGTGATTCTGCCATGATCACTGTCTCCTCTGCAGTCTGTGTGCTTAGGTATGGTCTCCATAATACTTAAGGCTCCTCTCCAGAGGGAATTGGGTTCATTCCTTAATCTACTTGGAGATACCTTATGAAACACGAGTGCTCAGAGCAATTTAAACCAGAGCAATCGAAGCCTTTCTTAAAGCAGGAGAGTTTTCTCTTGACAGCACAAGGGGAAACGGCCTCAGGCTGGGCCAGGGGAGGCTCAGGTTGGGGCTGAGGAGGAATTTGTTGCTGGAAAGGGTGGGGAGGCCTTGGCAGGGGCTGCCCAGGGAGGTTTGGAGTGCCCAGCCCTGGAGGTGTCCCAGGAAGGCCTGGCCGTGGCACTCAGTGCTCTGGGCTGGGGGACAAGGTGGGGATGGGGCCCAGGGTGGATCCATGGGCTGGGAGGGCTTTTCCAACCTCAGGGGATCCTGGGATTCTATTCCCTGAAAGGAAAAACTCTGAACCCACCTATTTTTATGGGGTGCCCAACACCAGCAGTGCCTCCTCCCTCCCCACCTCCCACGGCAGCTCAGGGGCAGCGACGGGAGGAACTTTCACATCAGGAGAGGGGAAAAAAAAGGTCTGATTTTGGAGAGGTTTGGGATGAAGAGAAAAGAAGTCAGAGGAAAGAAAACCAAAATCCTTCCCCAGCCTTCCCCATCCAGCACTAGAGATCCCAGGGCCCCTTTCTGTGCTGCTTACCAGGCTTTCTGCCGTGAGCTCGGGCAGGTCATGGACTGTGCAATGAGGATAATCCAGGACGGAGACCCTGTGGAAAACAGGGAAGCAGGGAATCGTTAGGAACACGAAAACAACTTCTGAAGGTGATCCACATGATTACACCCAGCAACTGTCAAATCTTCCTTCCCCAGGCCCGGGGTTTGAGTTCCAACGGCAGCGCTGCTTTATGGCACGAGGAATTTGGGTTGGGAACAATCCCTCCGCACTCCCTCCTGCATTTCCAGCGGCACAAACGGCATCCAAACGGGATCCCAACCTCACCACTGCCTCCCCTTGGAGCCTCAGTGGAGCACAGGGATCCCCCTTGGCTCCCAGGAGCATCCCCAGGGCGTTCATAAGGACTCCAGGGATTTGGATCCACAAAGACAGGACGGATGGGCTACTCATGGCATGTTTAAAAAGGGATAAAAACACCAAATATACAAAATATACCACACAAAAACCCCCAAGATAGATCTGAGGTTAAAATCCATCAGGTTAAAATGGAGATGTCTGAGTGGCAGCAGGAAAATTCCCGGGGGGGTGTCAGGTCTTTGGGAGCCCTCCAGGCATGTGGACTTTGGAAAAGGAGTCAATGAACACCCCAAAAGTATAAATTTATATACCATGTAAAGAATTTGCCACAAATGGTTTTGGCATCACCTCTGATATTTCCCTTTACAGCATCTCTGGAGTGGGGTCTGTGCATCTGAGTGTGACCAAATCCCACACCTGGAGTGGGGTCTGTGCACTGGAATGGGACCAAATCCCACATCTGGAGTGGGGTCTGTGCATCTGAGTGTGACCAAATCCCACACCTGGAGTGGGGTCTGTGCACTGGAATGGGACCAAATCCTACATCTGGAGTGGGGTCTCTGCATTGGAGTGTGACCAAATCCCACACCTGGAGTGGGGTCTGTGCACTGGAATGGGACCAAATCCTACATCTGGAGTGGAGTCTGTGCACTGGAATGGGACCAAATCCTACATCTGGAGTGGGGTCTGTGCATCAGAATGGGACCAAACCCCACATCTGGAGTGGGGTCTGTGCACTGGAATGGGACCAAATCCTACATCTGGAGTGGGGT